GCCGCTCATTGGTCACTGTTTTTCGTTAATAACTCGTTAACGATGCCTCGTAGGAAATTTTTGTAAAGGAAAAAGTTGCTTCAAATCACCTCAGGAATCTCTTAACCTTTCCGGGTGTGCGTTAACATAATTATATATTATATTAAATATATATTAAATATAATAATAAAATAAATAAATATATTATATATATATTATATTATATATTATATATATATATTATATTATATATTATATTATATTATAATATAAATATGTTATAATAAATAAATATAATAATAATATATTAAATATACCCAGATGAAATTTAAAAAGGTTTCTCGTTTATAACATCGTATCAATTATAATTAAATTGGATAAAATAACGTAAAGGCTAAATAAATTCGATCTTATCATTCTTCTAAAAAGCAAGACGAGCTTTTTAATTTTATCGCTCGGCAGGTTCAGCGTTGATTCTTTGTCGCAGCGAAAGCGATAAATCGGTAAGCGGAGTGGATCGGTTATTTCCCTGCGGGCGTTAAATTTCACCCATGAAACGGCCGGTTAATTTCCCCGCGATATTGCATACCTCGTAGCCAATCGGGGGCCGCGGAATCCGCGCGCAAGCCAATGAAAGTTCCGCGAACCTCGCCACGGTTCATAAACCCCTGACAAAAGTGTTCGCGCGAACATTTCGATTCCGCGCACGCAACGTCCACGGACCGTGCGTCTCCTTTGTTACATAATTCCTCGATAGCTTCCTTTTCCAACCCGTTCTCGCCTTCGTTTTCCGTCAGCGAGCAAAAGGGGCCGGGCACGGTTTTCTGGTATCCGGTCGGAGGAGTTCGGGGAAAGAAATAGAAAAAAAATGGAAAAATGAAAAAAGGGAAAGAAGGAAAGTCGTTGAACTAAACTAAAAAAAGAGGTTCGACGAACGTCGACGAATATTCCCGTGGGATCGAAGCCCTTTCTCGATCGACGTGGAAACCGTGTGAATGAATATTTGTTACGGTACTTGATTCCTCGGGGCCCCGTCGAATGTCATGAACCCTGGACACATTTACATACGGTCATAAGAGTATCCGGCCTCGTCACGCACTCGACCGACCGGCCACCGCGTTCCCTCTTTATTTGTATTATATTCGGTGGGACGGAGCAACGTTTCGTGATTCCGCCGTGATTTAGACGAAAGGCTTGTTGCTCGCCGACTCGGCTACAGTAAATTCTCCCTAATCGTCTTTCAGTTTTATAAACAAAAATGAACTGAGCTACGATCATTCGAGCCTTGCGTCTCGGTTTTTATAATCATTGACAATCGGTAACTATAGATAATAAATATAATTAATAATATGTAAATAATATATTAATACTATAAATAATAATATATAAATGCTATATTAATGCTATACATTATAAATAAATAATAATATATAAATGCTATATTAATGCTATATATTATAAATAAATAATANATATGTAAATAATATATTAATACTATAAATAATAATATATAAATGCTATATTAATGCTATATATTATAAATAAATAATAATATATAAATGCTATATTAATGCTATACATTGTAAATAAATATTAATACATGTATGCTATACATTATAAATAAATATTAATATATAAATGCTATATTAATGCTACACATTATAAATCAATAATAATATATAAATACTACGTTAATACTATAAATAATAAGTAAATAATAATCGTATCTGCTCTTCCCAAATTGTCCATTTTCGTGTGCAAGCTGAGGGTCAATTAGGGAGAATTTACAGCATGTAGAAAGCAATTTTTTGGGCCATAGTATTTCACGTTGCTACAAATAAATCGTTCGTACAATAACTTTATCGAACAGAGATTATACGGTTGTTATAAATGATAACTTTCGCTCGGATTAACTTGCCAAGTCGATCGGAGAAGAACCTCGGCGATCTCTTCCCAGGACACTCTGTATACAGCTGCCTCGGCTGCTAATTATAGTGAAGCGTCAGTCGTCCTTTTTACCTCTATTTTCACGCATTCATATCGACGCGCAAAATCGTTCGCTTCATTGAAGCTTTTAGCGCGCCGTGTACGTGGATCGCGTTCAATACGATCGAACAAAGCGACGATTTTTATTCGATTACAATCACCGCGATTATTCTGCCGTGTTGAAATTCCTTATCCGATCGAGCCACACTTTCCTCATCTCGCAATTGCAACTAGAACGGTCTCGCGCGTTTTCTACAATTTCAGTCCCATCTGCCCGATTGTCAGTCCCAATTGTTCTTCAATTCTTCTCCGAAACGACAATCTAAATTTGGTTCTACATGTTCTAAGGCAGGGCTGTCAAACTCAAAAGCTAACATTGGGCCAAATAAACAATGCTTAACTTTAGGTGGGCCGCAAAAAAAATCAATGTTCATAGAAACAAATATTTTTACTTTGACTAGTACATTGTAATAAACATATATAAAGTTAAATTATTGTTTACGTCCTGATACTTGACATCAAAAGTGTTCATCTCGGGCCGCGAGTTTGACACCCCTGCTCTAAGGAATGAAATGAAAAAGTAGACTGTCGAGATTTAATGCATTTTATTGCCGTTTCTATAATCATAAATTTTGTGAAATTTGATGATTTTTCATTTCATCTACCGACATTAACAAAAAACCTGGGATTGTAGAATATCGATGAAACTCTCTTTACGAATATCTTTAGATTGTTCTAATACTTCTGGACCGGAGTGTACGCATCCAACAACGATTGAGAGGTCCTATTCCCATTATGTTTTTGATAGACGACGTCGCTGCCACGACGACCCTAATTTATGACTTATGCGTGTCCCTTCCCATGTCCCCATGCTCTTTCCCAGGCAGCCTCTTCCACGTGACAGAGATTACAAACTTAACGCGTCAACTGTCTCGTGCGTCGTGCACATGCGGCCCAATCGCTTGCAATCGTTATTGAATAATGCGAAACTTGAACGTACACGGAAAACTATTAAAACGGACGATTAGCGAGAAACTCGTTTAAACGTATATATACATACATACATACATAATTTGTCGCGTAGCGCCGAACTCGAATTTGACGGTCGCCGCATGTTTAACCATTTGCGCTCGGCTGGTGACTCTGAGGCACCGAATTTGTTGTTGTCGTGTTCTAAGATGATTTTT